CACTTATATATATATATATATATATATATATATATAAGTGCAAGTTATAGGTTATAATATATATATATATGTATATATATGTTACTTTATTATATATATTTCCGTATATATATATGTATATATATGTTACTTTATTATATATATTTTTGTAAGTATTATACCTTTACCGTGACTTTTAGGTTTTTACGAATATACGGAAAATATTCCAAAGCGAAGGATTTCTACCACTAAACAAAAGCCTTTAAAAATTAATTAAAATTGGAAATCATTATACTGGTTATAGGTGGACTGAACCACAGTACACCACAATATGATCTGATTGATTTAGGAATCCTCGAAATCGTCTCGGTTATGTGTTAATATTTTCTAAATAATTTTTATAAATAGATACTATGTCGCTCATGTAAAAAAATTCTGTGATAAGCCAAAATCGTTCATAAATAATATCTTAATGATTAACTTGTCTTACATTACTCATCTTTTTTCAAAATATAATAAAAATAATTTTTTGATATTTTTTACATAAAACTTATGCTTTTATGGTTGCAACCATAAAAAGAAGAGCCATATAAAGCAAGTAAACAAACAGAAGGAATACAACAACAAGCGACTCGAAAAACAACCAGAATTAGAATGATTTAAAATCCAAATAAATTTTTTTGGCAAAAGTGTTGCATAGAGAAAAAAACACAACAGTTTTCATTGTTTACCTTCCAAATATTGCGTAATAAAATTACGGAATGTCTCACAATGACTTACAAACTTTTTCGATTTATTTGAATTTGATTTTTCTTTTCCGTATTTTCTGAACAATCCGTCGATTGTTTCGTCCATTCTGGTAATTCTGAGGAAAAACTCCAATTAGATGTTTCATATTTGAAACAGTGAAGGTGGATCATGAAATATCCTGGTGATTCTAGACGTCTTTTGATATTGCAGTGCAAGCACAATGGATCATAAAGTGGATAAATATCTGAATCGTGCGTTGGATCATAAAGTGGATCAATATCCGAATCCATTTTCGACTGAAAAACAATATATAAAGTATAAAAAGTCAAGTGAACAAAAAATTAATAATATACCTTTTCATAACAAAGCTGTTGTAAATATGCTTCATATTGTGGGTTAGGAGGTTCCTGCCAAAATGATGCTTGATGTTCCTCAGAGACATCTTTCGAAAGCTGAAAACCTTAGGAATATGGAAATTAATCATTAAAAGAACCTGTTCAATAAGCCACAATATCAGAAAACGAAGAAACCTCATTAAGGGATTTTCCAAAGACTCCTCCTTTGCCCTTGAATGGGCCCCAAGCTTTGCTGTTATAAATATAATCATCAAAAATAGGGAAGCCTGCAAAAGATGAAGCAATTTAACCTCTAACAATTTAATTCTAATCTTTGCAATCACAGATTTTAATTTTTTGTTTTATTTACGGAACTATATAATAAATATAGCAAAATGAAATAAAATGATACCAAGGAATTGCAAATGTATCCTAATTTGATGGGTGCGTCCTGTTTCCAGGAAACATCGGACGATGGATGTTTTTCCATCTGTTGATATTCTACGAAATCTAGTTTTTGCTACTTTTCCATCTTTTCGAACACAGTGGATACCCAGATTACAGATCAAGGGGCCCAGTGGTTCCTCGCAAACAACTTCTTTATCACTTCAATACATATCATTTTGTGAGAAGGTAAGTTGGTTTCTTTTGAGGAAAGCTTACGCTTTGCTTCTTTATTTATACGAAATTTATGAAAAGTGTCAAAAACAATTGGAAAGTTCCTTTATTGATTCCCTTATGGTAAAATGGTAATAAAAATATGGTAGTAATAAATGATAATAACTTGATAACAAGAAAATCTATATCATTACATTTACTATTACTATATTACTTAAAATTTATAAAATTAGTACAACTTACTTCGGAAATACGCCCTCTACCTTACAAACATACTCTTTATTACATTTTCCTGCCGACATTTCTTTCTTAATCTGAAATAATTAAATAAGTCAAAATAAATTTGTTAAATTAAAATTTGAAAAAAAAAATGTTAAAATTCTTGTAAGATTTAAAATAAAATGCAAAATATACCTCGGTATCTTTGCCATAATTTTTGGCGAATATAAGCAAGCCAGACGTAGTGCGGTCCAGTCTATGTACCACTATAATTACAAATTATTATAATTTTATAATAATTATAATATTATTATAATTTTGACTAAGTAAAACAATCTAATTTATTACTTTTTATCTTAATTCAAAAAATCCAACTAATTCACAAAATTTAAAAATAAAAATAAAAAAGAAATTCAGAAAAAAAATATGATGAAAATATGAAAACAAAAATTTCGAACCTCTTAGATCGCTGAAGCCTAGTTCTTTCAACATTTCTGTTATCGAGTTATACTTATATTTACCGCAAGGATGAACAGGTATACTTGCTGGTTTATTAATAACCAATAAATCATCGGAATTCTCAATAATCTGAATCGGTTTCGGTAGAACTGGATGCTCATGACGATGCACCCTATGGATGATGTGATCACCATTTTGAAGGATATAATCGATGTCAAGCACTGGTTTGTGATTAACAATAATCCGATTCAATTTACAAGCAGCTTTCTGCAAGCAACTGGTTAATTTTATTATCTGGTTAATAAAAAGGTAACAAAATTAAAAAAAAGATTAAAAAAACAAAAATTTATGGAATGTTTTATTTATTAAAAATATATGAAAAATTTAATTTAATATTCAACCTTTAATTAAAATGAAGTTACTAAATTACCAAAATTTTATTTCACAAGAAAATCTTAAAGTTTTCCTCAAAGCCTTCTTAAAACACTTTCACCAATTTTTTTTAAAAAGCAATTTTTTACCAAATATTTTTCAGAAAATCCATGAAATTCGTGCAAAAAAACATCTTTTAATTTTCGTCCTAACCAACGCCCCTTTGTAAATGTTTCATAATTACACCAATAAGGTTTCACAAAACGCATTCCTAAAAAAAATAAAACAATTCAATTTTTTAACAAATTTATGAGACAATTTTTTTATTAAAAAACTCGCAAAATATTAAATATTATTTGCATTCAAACAAAATTTTGTGATTAACAATAATCCGATCCAATTTGCAAGCAGCTTTCTGCAAGCAACCGGTTAATTTTATTATTAACAAATTAAAAAAAAGATTAAAAAAAGATTAAAAAAATTTCCAATATAATAAATATAATAATAAAAAGAAAATTTTATTTTCAAAATAAAATGAAAATTTCGAAAAAATAGAAAATTTAAAATAGAACTTTTAGTATTATTTATCGATGTAGCTGAATTCGATCAAAATTTTACACCATAATTTTCAATTTAGCATCAATAAAAATATTTGAAAAAATATTTCAAAAAAATAATTCAAAAATTAAAACTATAAAAAACCATTTTTTATGTAAATGTGAATATTTTTTGACGTTCCAACTAATTTCATCGCATCAGAAAGTTGGTTCACTGGCGACAATTCGTCACTTTCGTCCGGCAAACTTTTTCCCTGTGAATTTCGAAGATATTTTTAAATCTTTAAAAAAATTAAATATTAATTAAATATTTAATTAAATTTTCCACATTTTTAACGAAATTAAACGAAATTTTTACAAATTTTTGAAATATTAAAATAATTATTTTTTTAATATTTTTTAAAATAAAACGATTTAAAAGAAAAGAAAATTTTGGACAAAAAGTTTTTTACTTATAAAAATTTTTTTATTGGTCTAAAAAAAATAATTTGAAAATTTTGGATTGAAAAAAAATGTTTTTTTTCTTTAGCATTTTGAAAAATATAAATTCTATTTATTTAAGTAATCTTCGACAATATTTAAATATGCATGGAACAAAGAGAATGCTCAAGTGGCACACTGCTTCACTGAGTTCAAGCACCGTGAACACGACCTCTGCCTTATAGGAGTCAATTTTGTCGTTCAAATCGAACTCCAAGCAGTTCTACAGATCAGATCTAATTCTATCCACAACTGGCCATTCCTTAGCGAAAGTATCGCATTCTTTACAGTTAGCCAAACCAGGAAGAGGAAAGAATACGTGATGCTGACCGTCTAAGCGAATAGTATCTCTTTTTATTATTAAAAAACGGAACAGAAGAGACTAACAATTTTTTGTTTCTTCTCGTCTTTTGATGATATCGTTGAATAAAAATTCGGTGAACGTTTTGTCATAAAAAAAAATCGCGAAAAATTGCCACTACCAATACAGAATTATTTAAGCAATATATCCAATGTGACAAAATGCAGCGCAATGTTCATTCGATTTAAACATGACTACTAAAACTCGGCTCATATTTACATTTCTTATGTCTTTTCAAAGCATCTGGATGGAGGAATGTCGGCTAACGTAACCTCCATGCTGCGCTTTCGGTTAAAATTCGCTTCGTTCTGTGACATTCTGATAAACCTCTCGCGGTGCTTTATTTATTGAAGGATTCGAATCCCAAAGGCTGCTTTCGGCTGTAGGATGGATCGCCATAGAGTCAAAATTATACGATATTGCAAAATGGCCGAAAGCGAGGAACACTGGAAAAGATATCCGCATTGTGCCAGACTTGAGACACTCTTATTTTTCCTCTACACTTATTTGGAAATTTTGCAGCAATCAGGTGATAAAATTATTTATTTAT